TCTCGTCTCTCTCTCTCTCTCTCTCTCTCTCTCTCTCTCTCTCTCTCTCTCTCTCTCTCTCTCTCTCTCTCTCTCTCCGCCGCTCTTCATTTTCTCCTTCTTTCCTATTCGCGTTTCTTCGTCCGCCGCGAGATCTCTCCTCTTCCGGCGACCTCCTCCCCCCCTCCCGCTTTGGTCCCGCACAAGACGCTTCCCCAATGCTCTCTGTTAACCCCTCCCGTCCCACCGATTTTCCTCTCTCGTGTTACCCTTGTTCTTCCTTTTCTCCCTCGCCACGTGCCCTCCAACCTTCAAGCCTCTCGTTTTCATTCATCCGCGCCGCTCGCGTCAAACACGCGATCTATATAAGTGGCCAAACACGCGTTTCAACTTGGAAATGTTCCTACGCTCCGTTCTATACGCGAGCTATTTTTAAACGATAAAAACACAACGGAAAAATCGAGAGAAATAAAGTAATCGATATAACTCGACGTGGAAACGGACGTTTTGTGTTCGCATGTTCTTCAATCAATTTGCTGATTTTTCTTCGGAATATTGAAGGAGAAAAATTTGTAATTTTAGATATCTCGACAAATTAAATGTTAACATTTCCATTTGAATAAAAAAAGCTATTTGACAAGGAAAGTACGATTTTATTATCTATCAGCACTTCGCATTTCTTAAACTCAACGCTCTCTCACCAAGGAACAATCAGTTAATATATTTATACTTAGAATTCGAAGAAATCCCGACTGAAATGACACTCCGTTGTAAATTGAATTTCTTTCCAGGTTTTTCTCAGAAGTGCGATTTATCTCTCGGAAGGTTTAGATACAAAACCCTTTTATAGTCGATAATCCTCTGGATTATATATCGCACACGTTTTATCACGAATTTTTTCGATGATATTGATATTTTATCGATATAACTTTAATTTCCGGTTATGCCATTCTGTAATCTCGCGAGATTTTCGCTAGACACACTGGCAACTATCTGTACATGTATAGGTGCGTCCGTTAGGCACATCGAAATTCCGTTTCATAGTTAAAAAGTTTGCAAGCTCAAAAAGTTCCTTTTTTCGATTCGACCGGTTAATTGTGCGTAAAATTAAACGATTTGCTAAAATAATAATAAATTTGAAATTGCAGTTTTATGAAAGCGTTTTGAACAGATTTGTGTACGTTAATTATTATTTATCGTATAATAATTCGCATTATATGAAATTAATTAGTGAGTCGGAAATTGTTTTTCCGACATCGAAACAAAATTGATAAACAAAATTAATTTATATTCAAGAATAATGACGCGTATATAAATTACTTTGGAGATCGTATATATACGGTTTTTTTTCCCAATAAAATGTATAAATGATTTAATTTATCGTAAATAAAACGGAAAAATATTGTTAATTCGAGTACTATAAATTTAATTAAGCTTCTAGCAATGCAGATACGACCTCATCTAAAATACTGATGAAAGAATTGTTTTGATCGCGTCATACTTCAAATAATACAATTGCCAATGTAATTGAATTTATTTTCTCGTAAAATATAAAGCTGTATATATTTTACCATTAATTAAGTACCAAAAATGAGTTTTCGACGTGATACTTGTTAAGAGATTAATTTATTTCTTTAATTACAATTTAAGCGCCAACTATCCTTAAAAAGTTAATGGAGCTTCCCGGATGGCGTTGCGAGGCAACACAAGGAAATATATGTCAGGACTAAATTCTTTCCTTCTTGTCGCCATTTATAGCGTCGTCTAAAATGCGACGTCCCGGACACGGCTCTTCCTCGGCAGTCTCTCCTCCTCTCTCTCTTTCGCTCTCTCTCTCTCTCTCTCTCTCTCTCTCTCTCTCTCTCTCTCTCTCTCTCTCTCTCTCTCTCTCTCTCTCTCTCTCTCTCTCTCTCTCTCTCTCTCTCTCTCTCTCTCTCTCTCTCTCTCTCTCTCTCTCTCTCTCTCTCTCTCTCTCTCTCTTTCGGTGCGCCGAGTTCAGGGTTAGTTGGCCTACTGACGTACTTCGGGACGCGTATCGCGAGGGGTCGCGAGGTCGTTGATACGAGGCTAAGAAGGGAGGGTGGAGGGACCGGTGACCTTGGAGAACAACCCAGGAGGATCGATGCCTGCTCGTATACACGTGTCCTGTTGGCTCCTCGTGCCTGCCTTCCTGCCTACCACTCTCCTTCCGACCCTCGTGGCCCTTCCGTTCCCTCCGACCCCGACTTCCTTATCGCGGTTCCTGCGCACTTCTATGGACACGTGCTGGCACATAAACAACCTTCCCAGACTTTCCTCGTGATCCCAGCGACATTTTCTCCCCAAGGTTTATCCGCGACACCATATACTTCCGATAACTTCCGGTTAACGTTCGCGTTTATATTTAATTTTTTTTACCTCAGATTTCGTTGCGATATGGACTCGTTACAGTAGCCGAAAGTGTCTCTAATTATAGCAAATTTGTTGTAATATGCTTAAAAAATTTGAAATTAAAAATTTTAAGTTATCGCAAGATTTTAAAAGAAATCTTTGTAATATGAAATTTAACACTAGAAATTTTATTAAATTGTTTTATAAATATAATAACTGATTGGTTAGGATCATTTAAAATAAATGGGAAATATTGACAATAAAATTTTAAGCGATGTGTATAACGCTGAATAAACACTTTTATCTCGTAATAAACGACCAATATTTGATTGATTGTGCGTTGAAAGTGCAGTTGATTAATTTATATTTTCCGCATAAACACACAATATAATATATTTTAATGCACATTCATGTGAGCCATACAAAAACATTATCGGCGCGTTTTAAAATGAAGTTTCTCAAGAATGGAACTTCCCAGTTAAGGAATAAGAAAATTTCTTATCTATTTCCATTTTTTTTTATCTAGTATATTGTCGCAAATACGCTTCCTATTTCGATTGAAAGACTAATGGTTCCCTTACTATCGCTGTCACGGCGAATAGTAAGTAAAGTCATTTACGCACTCGTATATTAAAATTGCAAAGTGAGAAGGAGAGGAGGAATTGCACCGTTAGCCGAGCGGAAGGAAGCGCGTGTCGGAAAAGATATAGCAAGGACTCGACATTGCATTTTCAATTCAGGTGCTGATGCAGTCAAAGTAGAGCTGTCAGAAAACGACGTCCCTACGGCTACGATGGTGACGAAGATCGAGGGAAAGACGGAGACCTTGGAGAGACACGTGCCGCAGATGCTGCTGAGGGGAGAACAGATCGCCATAATCGTCAAAATCAATTGACTAACGCTATCGCCTTAAGGGCTGTCCACAACTACGGTGCCACGTGCGTTAACTTACACACCCAATTGTATATGGTCTCTTCCTGTTACTCGTACTGTTATTTATTGTAATGGGATTTTACACAATTTATTATTGTGATAAATGTTTTAGTGTCTATAAATATTTGAAATCTATTTGTATAAGATTCTTCGCAAAAGTCGATTTTTTCGAATACATTGTGTACCTCAGAATACATTAATCGAATAATGAAATTCATCCAATTACGCGGCTCTATAACGCCGAGATCGTGATCTACATAACCGGAATACTCCATTCATTTTTCCTTCTCCCCAACAATACGTTTAAATAATAAATATATTTTGAACGAAAAGAGGTACCGTTAACGTAATTTTCTTTCTTCTTTTTTTTTCCCCGCAAAGGTGAATAATGAAATTCACGCCTCTCTCACCTTGCCCATCCGTTGCCTATCCCACCTCTTCCCGCCATAATTAACTTTCAGCGATATACGGGACGCGCTTATGTATGCCATGTTATTAAGTAGTTACGTCAAAACGCATCGCGCCCCTGAAATTATACGGGGAATCAAAACCTGGAGGCCGCCGAGACTGGACTTTCTCGCGACGGATGCAAGGACTCCGAGGAGAGAGAGAGAGAGAGAGAGAGAGAGAGAGAGAGAGAGAGGAGGGA